TGCACGCACCTGACTGCAGGTAAGAAACAGAAATGGTATGGCCCAGCATCTGTGCAGGGAGACGCAGCATATACAACACTACGTGGTGTTTTTCTTCAATTGATGCAACTCAGTAATTTTTATTGCAACTGGAAGACAATACATCACAGAAACTTTATGATAGGTCTGGGGAAAAGTGTTATTTACAATAAATGATGAAATAGTTTGTCTTTGGCAATATGATTACATACGAAGAATGCAAAATGCAGGTATGGATGCCTTCCAAGCAACACCATCAAGTCCCTAGAGTTCGGCTGATTGCGCCTGCCTCCACATTGCTTCTTTAGGTTTACACGAACATAACTGAACATCACGTTCTTTCTCCTTTATGGTTCTCCCTTTCTATTCATGATATTGGCAGTTTCATACAGAAAATACAGAAAAAAAAAAACTTGGCTTTTGAAAAATTATTACTCTTGTAAATTAATTTGGCCATGTAGGTCTCTTGGCCAGCCAAGGTCAGATGACCCTAAGCATCAATAGTAAACCTCTGGGTCTCCTGATTGCTTTATCACTTTTTTTTTTTTTTTCTGTAAAACAAAACACAACTCAGAAATGTTATAGAATCAGAATATGAAAAAATGTACAAGTGTATATGCTTCCCAGACACACATGGATACATTTTTCCTCCACATTTTCACTATGGCAGTATTAAGTAGTGAGTGTGAATGACACAGCATGAAACTGGTTACTGAATCAGCTATGAGCTCAGATGGCCTCAACATACATACTCAAGAAATGTTGCATGTTTAAATAACTGAGAGTGTGCTAAATCTCATCTAAAAAAAAGGAGGAGAGGGGCTGGGGAACTCAGGCCACAGTCATAAAAGGATGAATACAATTTCTGGGTTTAATAGGTTCACCATATCGAAGTCTTTGAGAATCCAATATGGAATATCAATTATTTTGCAAAAGGTAGAGAAAGCACTTCTCAACTTTTGCAAATGAAATACAGTGGAAAAACACTGTTGTATATATTCCAAATAAATAGTCTTGATTCCAACGCTAACGAAACAACAGGAAGGGTACTTGTGAGCATCTCGTGGTTAAGTCAGAAATGATCGTTCACACAGGTCTGATTTCAGAAGTACGACAGCAAGATGCAGCACCATAGACACATCGGTTTCGGCTGTTAAAAGATGGATCGTTTTAAAAATTGTGTTTTCTTTCCTTAAATTTTTGGTCAGTGAAGCTAGCACTTGTTTGCTGAACTGTGGAAGAACGGCAAGGTCACACACATTATTCATGATAAAGCAACCGAGCTGACGAGTCTGTGCTTAATTCAAGAATAACCAGTAGGAGAGAGAGAAAACACAAGGAGTTAACCACCACGGCCGGTGTTCTCTCAAAGGAAGAGGGGTTAACACATGAATTCACAAAGGTAGGCAGAGCTATACAGAACACTGAATGCCATGTGTAAATCCTCATGAAACTCCAGAAACAGGAACACCACACAATGTATATACTTTGATTTACACATTCCGTTACAAAGGAAAAAGAGACACCATTACAACTTTGTAACTGTGTTAACTGCAATATAAACCAAGTCCAGAGTTTGGCAGGTAACTAAAAGAGGGTTATCACTTAGGTTATATAGCAAAAGTGTTGATGTATATTATATATAGTAGTATAAATAATAAAAAAGTATTATTTAAATTAGATCACAGTGCTGCATTATGTGCATAACAGTGTTTGATATAGTATTGGTGGGCTGGGACCTACAACACTAAGGACTTAACTGTCAACACTGGGAAGTCACAATCAAGAGGAAACACAGAGTTCCAATGTTTTCTTTTGGTGGCAAAAAAAAAAAAAAAAAAAAAAATCCTGAAGGTGAAAGAAAAATACTTCTCTACAGAAACATAAAAATCAATTGCAACATCTGGGCAGCTGTGATCCACCAGAAAGAAACGAGTCCCAACCTGAATTAAGTTTAAAGGGAAAGAGAAATCACATGGAATTTAATCCAATCTCATCTACAAAAACCTTCCCATTTACGTCACTTGTACCTAACTGCAATCCCTTCTCCAAGAGCCCTTCCAGTAGAGGCGAAAGGCTCCCGCACACAGAGAGGAGCGAGTGGAGCTTGCATCAGGAGCCCTCGGGTTGGGCAGTCCTGGCATGGTGCAGGACTCTGGGCTGGATACAGAAGCCATCCTCCTGGTTCTTACTCTACAGAGCCCACTGCCTGGTGCTGTTCCCTCCGGCAGAAGCCTCCTTCAACACAACAACCCCTTCCAGAAGTCTCCGTGGTAGTAACTGCTGTGGCCAGCAAGCACTAGACGCATTGAGTGCCTTTGCAAAGCAAAACTAAAAACAAAACAAAACAAAACTCTGTTCCTGGGAAAGGCCTCTGGCACATTCCTTCTTAAAAACTCCCAAGATTGAGACCTGCAACAATCATTCTGGCTATGGTTTTCTCCAACCACCAGTGAAATATGGGTTTGCTTCATTTTAGTTTCAGATAGATGGCTTCAGCAAAGAACTCTTGAAAAGAATACTGTTTAGAGAGGGGAAGGAAAGTAGGAGCTTACGCTAGATTATAAGGCTGGGAAAAATCTATGATGCAAACCCTTTCCACATAGCACTAGATAAAGATAAGACAGTTATAACAGGATAAAAATAACTATGTGTATATCATTTAAGAAAAAAAGAGTGACTGTCTCTTTCTCTTAAATGTGTCCGAGGGCCAATAGCAAGTAATCGTAGATGTCATGGTGCTGATGTGTTCACGGTTGGTTTCCAAAGCATCTTTAAATATTGCTATAGTTCCCCGTTGCCCCCTCCCCCCTGCCCCGTGTGAGTATGTGAGATACTGGAATGACACAGGAACCGCCACGTCTCCCAGCAGGAGAAATGAAAGCAAAAACACCACACCTCTTGACGGTGTTCAGGTGATCCGTCAGACTAATGGATACACAGGCTAGTTTGGAAGCTAAAAGAACACCTGGCATTTGGGAAGGAATTCCAAGATGAAAGTGAATGACACTTAAGCAAAATATTCTTTCACAAATAGGCTTGTGCTTAAATTCTCTACTGCTCTTGGAGGAGGGGATGAGAGGGTGCCTCCTGCCCCTTGGCTTGTTAAGGACACGGACAACCTCATTCTGCAATGAATTCACTAAGAACAGCCACATACACATTGATACGTTTTGTTTTTGTTCTCAACAATCAAAACACAAAGTCAAACACAATTGAGCCATTGTTTTGGTTATGCATAATGTGTATGCCTCCAAAAACAGAAGAAAAATAGGAAGAAGTACCCTCACTAAAGGTTCCCCGACAAGTCTTCCAGCAGATCCAACGAAGGGAGACTCAGGAAAATCACACTTAGAAAGCTGCCCGATGAGGTATTTATGCAAAAAGAGTGGTTCTGGAGTTAAGAACACACTTTTATAAGATATTTCTCTATTTCTCAAAGAGATCAGAAAAGTAAATCACACACATTGCATTTTATTAGTTTCTAAAAGAGGCCTCTGCCCCTTTAGAAAAATGAAATGAGGGAGACAGCCCACTGTGGGAGGGGGGGGGTTAATTGGAAGAAGTCCACGGCCAGAAACAGTCCTGAATGTTATTAACCTCTGCCTTTCAGAAGAGAGGTCTGACTTTTATCGTCGGGGGTGCGGTGCGGGTGGGGGTGGGGAGGTGGGAGACTGAGCTGGAGGTCTTTAGGCTTGGTCAGGTGACAACACAAATCAAGGTGTCGCTCAGGCTCCATAGCTGTGGATGGCTTTTAGGGTGTCAGATGTTTGGGGAGACGGAGGGAACAGAGCACTGCAAAAAATACTTGATTCCCATCTAGACCCTGAAAAAAGATGCTGGAAGGATTATTCAGCTTCAGGTCATGAATTGGACCTGCTGTATAGAGGTGTAGGTTTCTTCAGGCTCTCTCATCAGCAACCCACCAGAAGGTAAGTGTGGGGAATGCACCAGTTAGTTCCCAGTGTCTGGGCTGGTGGAGCTTCTGACACTACCTGATCCTGGCAGAGGGGCTTGGCTTTGACCCACAGCAGTCCCCTTTTTCAAAGTTAAGGTCATCTTCGTTCCCTCCCTCTCCTCACACATTGTATCCTGAGCCACAGTAGTGGCTGTTTGTGTTTTGAAATTTCCCTCCACTGGGATGGAAGATCATATTCTTTTATAGAGATTTCTCTTTGGACCACCCCCGAGAAAATGTCTTAGGCAAAGGTAACAACAGGAGTTTCTGGGCCGCATGACATCGTCTGGTTTCTAAACTCAGCTCTTACAATCTAGGTGGTCTGAATTCCAGGTTGGTCAGTGTGCTGAAGTGGTAGCGAGAGCCGGCCCCTGCTTCCTACATGGCATCCTGGCGACAGGACGTCTGGGGCTGGCCTTTCCTACCTCACATCGTTTCCTCCTTCACGCGAACCCCGTCTCGTCCCCATCACCCAATAAGGCCCATTAGCACGGTTCCCCTTCTTCTGGCTAATTTGCATAAGTATTCACTGCCTTTTTCCTAGAACCAAATCACGGTAATGATTTTCTCAAGTAAGCGTCCCATAATTCTCTTGATTCTATCATACACACTCACTACTAAGTTTGCCCTCAAATTATTGCGTCATGTTAAACATGTACAGACAGAGAAAAAGGACACACTTTCAACAGAGAATCAGAGGGGGTCGGGGCTGGAGTGCACACAAGGCAGTACAGAGTTCAACCATCCAAGCCCTACCAGAGCGTGAAGATATTTTTATATTGCAGAATAAGTTCCCCAACAGTCAGAATTTGTCCCTGAAGAAGGTTAAACCTTAAACACCTGCTTCAAAAAACCAAAACGAAATAACCCGAAAAAAACCCAAAAACAAAAACAACAACAACAACAACAAAAAAAAAAAAAAAAAAAAAGGAGAAAAAGAAAGCAAAGGAAAGAAAAAAAGAAGAAAACCAAAAGAACCTCTAAGCGTAAGGGCTTAAAAATTAGAGGCATCACCTTTTCTCTATTTTCTATATTTATATGAAAATAATTCATGCTTCATGCTAAATACATTATTTACCTTACAAGAACGTTGTTACTTTTGAATAAAAAAAGTTTGTTTTTGTGATTTTTTTTCTTTTTCTTTTTTTTCTTCAAAGGAATCCATGCATTGTGGATCAGAAATTTCTGCTGGCTACACTGGCTGAATGTGGAAATCATTGATTTTTGCAAAGATGAATCCTGACTCACATTAATTGCAAACTCCATTTTGAGGGCAGTATAGGAGTTATTTTATTTTCTTCGCCATGTTTTACTTTGTTTTTTTTTTTTTTTTTTTGTCTGTCAATGTGCCTTTAATCTTTTAAAAATACACCACAATACACATGGCAGGTTCTATAGCTTTCTGTTTCTGGTTTTCTTTTCACTTGGATCAAAGTTTTGAGAGAAAAAGATTTATACCATTATTTCCTTTCCTTAACAGCTACTGTCATTTCCTGGACTTGGGTGCTTTTCACTTGGGCAGTTAAAAAGACACAGCTTGTTTTCTCTATCAGTTTTCTCTCACTCTCCTTCTTGTGTGTGGTATGTTGTATGTGTGTGTGCATCTCTGTCGTGTGTGTGTGTGTGTGTGTGTGTGTGTGTGTGTGTGTGAGCACAGGGCCAACCTTCAGGCTGATGGCTTTTGGAACATTTTCTTAATTTAATAGAGAACAGAATTCAATAATTAGCAACATCACTAAAAATTTACCCCATTTCTTCTCCATGAGTCACTGACACCCGATGTACATGAACGGTCCAACGTCCACCTCGTAAGATGTCATCGGGCTTCAGGGTTTGGAAGCACAGAGGACTGGTGGCCGGCCCTCTGTGCTTGCCGTGACAATTCCAGCGGCTTTCCTGGCACCATCAGATGCCTGGAGCCACAGGCTTGGGTCTGCTCCTAGGCAGACGAGAGGTTCCTCCTTCTCCTCAGTTGCTTTATGTGCCTTTACTCAGTGAACCCAATGGGGTGGACAACCTGGCATTTTAAACCTAAGGGTTGGGCCTGGACGATGACTACTTTGCACGGGTGACTTCTAGGTGCCAAATGTGTGTTCCTGCGACATTGACGTTGACATCCCTGCGGATTCAGCCACAGGTTTCTGACAAGCTGGAGGAAGCAATGGTAATTTTGGCTTTTTCGGTTTTTGTCTTCAGATAATGAAAAGCTTTTGTAAAACAGCTGAGTGTCAGTATGAGTTCTATGGCTTCAATCTCCTTTAAAAATAAAATTCTTAAGGGCCCAAAACAAAGAAGAGGGGGCAAATTAAAAAAATAAAAAGGAAAAGAAAGAAAACCAAACCAAAAACAAAACAAGAAAAAAGAAAAATAATTGCTGATATTGCCACAAATCATTAGAAATCTCCTGACATGCTGAAACCAAATGGCCGTAAGTTCAAAACAAATCAGTGACTTGTTTTTAATTTTTCGTGGTTTCCTTTTGCTCTTTCTGCCCCTTTGCCGTCCGATTGGTGATGTTATTCAAACAGGACCGGATCCCTGCTAAGTGCAGGAGCGACCCCGCTGCCTCTTTCATCTCCTCATCGTCGCTCTCAGGGGGCTTTTCGGTGCGTCTCTTTTTGAGGGGCAGTGTGTCGCTGGGGACCCTTCTGGCCTTGGCGAAGTGCTGGCGCTTCTTGTGCTGGGATGCGTACCCGCTGTCCCCCAGGGCATCCTTGGGCTCCTTCTGGCTGTGCTTCCTGTCATCGTCTTCAGTGTCACTGTGGCTCTCGTGGCTCCGGAAGCTCCCCTCGCTGCCCTCGCTGCCCTCCTGGCTCCCCTTGGTGGCAAACTCGTAGTGGTCGTCGGCCGAGGAGGAGGAGGAGGAGATGGAGTCGCTGGTGGGCGAGGTGCTCCGGGCATTGGAGGACTTGGCACTGCTGTAGTTGTGATCCTCCTTGGGGTCTCCGCTGACCACGGGGGAGCCACAGGACGGCTCGCTCTCAGTCCGCATTCGGCAGCTGGTGATGCCGTTCCTGCAGAGCGAGGGCAGTGGGGAAGGACGGGAGACAAAGAGGGGACACAGTCAGACCTCCTCGGATGGGGGCACCCGGCAGCCCGCCTGCATTCAAACATCAGCCCCTTCGCATTTAACGGAGCCATTCGCAAACCGTGGGGCAACACGTGGCTCTGCTTTGAAGGCAAGGTCCTAAATCCTGACACCTCAGTCTCCCCTGCTTATCTCCTATCATTGGCAGTTTCACTCCATTTGTGTGGCTGAGACATCAAAACAACAGTCTTCTCAAGTGACAGTGGTGGAGGCTCCGTCTCTTACATTAAACCATAAAAATCAAGCTGTGCTTGGTTCGTGTCCCCGCCAACACTGCGGAATCAGCCACCGCCAGACGATGTTGGCTGGGTACTTCAGAGAAAAACACCTGCTCTTGTCTGAAGCTGCTACATTTGGAGGCTTTTGTCAGAAGACTAAACTAGTGTTCAGCGAAGATACCTGCCATGTGGTGACAGCTACTCACTCACGTATTCCCTTCCTTGTTCATGCAATCTACGAATATTCACTGAGCGCCTAATAGAAATGCAATGATCTTAGCGAGGGTTGGATTGGATATAGACACCGCCACAGCAATGCTGCAGCCAAACAGAAAGGCAAGTCAGGGTCACATCACAGACGAGAGAGCAATAAGCTATGATTTCCCGAACTCAACACCTGCCAGGTGCTCTGCTAAGTCTGAGCAGAGGACCGTGTTTAACTCCGTGAAGTGGATATTAGCATCCTTATTTTACAGTGTCTTGAAGTGAAGCCTGGAGAGGTTCAGTGATTTACTTAAAGTTAACCAGCTAATCACTTGCAGAGTAGGGACTGGAATCAAAGTCTGACTCTCAAACTTGAGGTCTCAGCTATATTACCAGAGCCCCACTCCTTTGTGATTTTCTTAGAACCAGGTCCCTGCTACTCATGCCTATCAAGCCTCTGCAGCGCTCATCACACCTCCGATAATTTCTTCGTGCCTTTACGTCTGAGTGATGCTCTTACATCCCTTGTGCTTTTCCGTATCGGCAAAGAGGGAGAAGTAACTACACCTGCTCCCCGTGGCTGCTGGGCCGTGGACGTGAGTTAATGCCTGCAGGTGCCTGGACCAGGACTTGGCCTGAGGGCAATGGCTGTGAAGCTTATTCCTGGTTAGGGCCTACGCTCCTCGGGTCTTGGAGGCAGCTGCCTGTCTGGTAGTACCTGGCACCCAGCCTTCAGAGGGATTAATACTTGAAGAAGAGAAGAGTCACTTATAGCTGAAGGGGACGAAGGGTAGATACCAGGAACGTTCTGTGGAAGACATGGCATCCGACCTCGGATACAGGGCTGAAGATTTGGCAGAGATGAGAACTGTTCTACTGCACCACACTGGTCTGGTTTCCTGTAAGCTCATCTACCTTGCGATCCATTTCTAAGCGTTCTGGGGAACATGACCATACTTTTCCTGAGTAGGTGACCACAACTGTAAGTACTCTTACTTTCCCTCCATAGAGGATGCTCCCTACCATCATCATGAACTGCATGGTGATGATGTCCATTGAGGTGTCCTATTAGAGAGCCGGATCCACAAGACAGGGTGTGGTTACTGCTAGGTCCCCAGTAGCTATCGCTGTGCCAGTACAGTGGACACAACAGATATACTGAGAAGTGCAGCAGCAGGTGGAATTGTGTGGCCGCGAGTATGAAGCTTGGGGTGACCGTGGGTCTCCACCCCCATGACTCACTGGGCACTGCCTGGGGATACAGCACTGATAGGATGGCTGTGGGGTCAGGACCACCAATGAGGTAACAGTAGTGATCATCTCTACCCTGGCTTTTCTCCTGTCACCCTCATGGGGCTTGAGGCTCAGGCTGACTTCAGTTGTGTCCCATATAGAAAGTGAAAGGGGAAGGGAACGAGTCCCTGATGAAAGGGTGCGGTAGGGAGCGACGCGAAGGAGTCGCTCTCCTGGGGTCCCAGGGCCAGTGGCACTCTGCTAAATTTAGACTGGGGGAGAGACTCCATACCATTGTGTCCACCCGCAAAATGCATAAGGGTCATTATCAAAACTCAGCCTTTGCTAGATGTCCAAGAGCCTCATGATGAACCTCAGCACTTATAACGTATGCATTTGTAGACTGAAGTCCCAGTGAGTCCCGGAAGGGTCCCAGCTTGTGTCCTGTGCTCTGTGATCCCAGATGCACACCATCTCCCTCAAATCCTTATGGATAAAGCCTGTCTTGCAAGCCACATGTGTCTGTGCTCATATCTGAGCAGGCCGTTTTACTTCCTGAAGGCTCAGCTTCCTCATCTACCTTATGGGGCTGTGTGAGGATTAAACGGACTGTCCTGAGCACAGAGGAAGGTTCTTTGTGGTGCTGCCTGATCATGTTGACTTGCCGTCCGAATCCTGTGACTTCCTGCTGCTGTGACTTGTTTACTATGAGCAGTCTTGTTTTCTCTTTCTATTCTGGGCCAGGAGGTGTATGGGAACCGAGCACCAAGTCAGAGGAAACAGGGCCTTCCAGAGGAGTTCCTCAAGGGCTTTTGCCTGTGAACACAGCCCCTGAGCTTTGGGGTCTGGCCTCCTCCATATCTGCTTTCTGCAGACCTCCTATTTCTTGGCTGTTGTCTTGGGTGCATAAAGATGGCTGAGATAAGATTACTTTGAGATGTTACCAAATATGAAACTTGGCAAATGTAATTAATCATACAGCTAGTTATTAATAGTTATTAAAGCAAATGAAAACGAAAGTCTCCTAGGGTTCTCTTGATCTTTGTCATTTGAGGGAACTACTGTAAAATACAAAAATAATTCACCCACTGAACATCAAAAAGTTTCACAGTAAATCTAACTATACTTGAATGAGTAAAGTGGGCTATGTTTAGCTTTTAATAAATCAGTTCAGTTCTGAATGCTTCTTTTAAAAAATAACTTGGGGCTTCCAACCCACGTCATTACCAGTTCAGCAGAACATGATCCCCCTCTGAACACAGAGAGGGGAGAATCATGAGTGAGAAACGAAGCAAGTGCTCCCCAGTGCCGATTCGTGGTGAATCTAGGTAAAGAATCTGCACTATTCATTGTGATTTTCTTTCCCTTTTTTCACAAGTTTGAATATTTTTTTAAATACGTAGTTTTAGGAAGGGGGAGAAATACACCAGAACCAAAGCGGTGATATTCAGCTGAAGCTCCACACTATGACAAGAGGAGTGGCTTCCAGCCTGAGGTGACGCTCTCTTTCTTAAACGGGGCAGTAGCAGCATTAAAGAAGGGCTAAAATATGTGGTGGATCCAAACGGAAACTTTCTTCTTACAGAGATCCCATGGATTAAAGGGAGAGTAGAAAAAAGAATGATTGAACAGCCCCTGATGTGATGCTGCGTGGGGCAGAGTCTCTGGTACCACCTAGAGTCACGCTGCATGCCAGCAGAGGGTCCATGGCCCACCTCTTAGAACACCGGCCTATCCCACCCATTTCACAGAAGTGCAAGCTCAGAGAGCCGCACGGTTGTGGAGTGAGGTGGCCCAGACAGTCTCAAATATACTTCAAGCAGGAATTTTAAATATCTCCCTGTCACTCCTGAAGAAGGAAGTTTACTGTGATGAAGACAGAAAACTAAAACTAATAATCCACCGACAATATTTCTGGATGAAAACAGGTATACAGGCATAACTTCGGGGAGTGAGAATTAAAACATAAATGTCTCTTTTCATTTGATGAAATTAACCTTCCCTAAGATTTTAGCATGGGTTTATATAATCCATAAATTACGCACAAAACTCAGCAGGAAGTGACAAGCTCCTTCAATTATTAATAACTTGGTGCAATGTTATTCACGATGGTGCAAGCCGGCTGCACTGACTTGGTGTCAAATGCTTCCCAACACAGAGGTCGCCATTATAGGGCAACAAATGCTTACAAGAAACTAGCCATTCTAAACATGTTGGAAGGTGAGTTTCTAGCCACTTTCTTAAAAATCATTCATTGAAACGAACATGTGATACATACGAAATGCCTGCAACTTTTCAGTTTTAGCCGAATTTATGTGTAACGATCTCACAATTAGCATAAATCAGCATACACCAGAGCCACCTGATTTTAAAAGTTTAACGCACATGGCTCAGCAAAACCACGTGCTGTTCATCCCAAATAAAACCCGGTATTCATTCTCTTGTCAAATAGTTGGAAAACATCAAACTTTCAGTGAGAAATCACATGAGTTCAGACCCAGAATGAGCAATGCTTGCAACTAACAAGTCAAGGTGTGGGTTTGTGACATGGCCATCTGCTAGTTTTTGTTTGTTTGCTTAACCAATTCATCAGGTGTTCCACTACAGTATGATGAGCATGCGTCCTTGTCTGCCTCTTACCTGGTGCACTAGGGATCTCTCTGGAACTAATGGCTCTAAATCTAGAGGATATCATGTAGAGTAGTTGTCCTCCCCAGGGATTTACTCAAGGACTTTGATCTTTTGCCAAATGTGAAAAGCGGATCGAATTAATGGGGTTGTAGAAGCAGGGGACTGGAGCAAGTTGAAAGCTTCTTTTGGAAATCAACTGCAAACAGACATGGAAGAGAAGAGATGACCAGAGACTTCCACTTCCAGCCAGGTGGCAAAACAGACATTTGGAAGGTACTCTTCTGACTATAATACACAAGATCCTAGATCATGTACAGTAACTTCTTTTGAAGAAGGAGTCTTGCTCTGTCGCCCAGGCTAGAGCGCAGTGGTGCACAATCTCAGCTCACTGCAGCCTCTGCCCTCTGGGTTCCAGTGATTCTCCTGCCTCAGCCTCTTGGGTAGCTGGGATTACAGGCATACACCACCACGCCCTGCTAATGCTTGTGTTTTCAATAGAGACGGGGTTTCACCGCGTTGGCCAGGCTGGTCTCAAACTCCTGACCTCAGGTGATCCACCCCCTTTGGCCTCCCAAAGTGCTGGGATTACAGGCGTGAGCCACTGCGCCCGGCCAGTGACATATTTTAAAGACATTGCTGA